CCCTCTAAATCTTTACTAACAAGTCCGGAATGAGATTATTCAGAACTTTTTTGGAATCAACTTTTTTCTCTGCTTTTCTAAGAAATTTTTAAAATTACAATTGACATACAATATTAGTTTAAAGTATACAAAATATGTAGAGTGATCACTCCAATCTAGTACCCACCTGATACCATACATAGTCCATACAATATTACTGACTATATTTCCTATGCTGTATTTTATGTGAACATGATACTTTTTATAACTGCCAATTTGTATTTCTGTATGAGTTTGTTTCTGTTGTTTGTTCAATTATTTTGTGTTTTAGATTCCACATAAAGGTGAATAGATAACATATATAAGTGAAATCATATGTCTTTCTCATTCTGATTTATTTAGCATAATATTCTAGGTCCATCCATGTTGTCACAAATGGGAGGATTTCATTCTTGATTTAATGGCTGAGTAATATTTCCTCGTATACATGTACCACTTGTTTATTCATTTATTGATGGACATCTAGATTGCTTCCATATATAGACTATAGTAAATAATCCTGCAGTGAACATAGGGATTAATATATCTTTTCAATTTAGTCTTTTCCATTTCTCCAGGTAAATACCCAGAAGTAAGATTACTGGGTCATCTGGTAGTTCTATTTTTAATTTTTTGAGGAACCTTCATAATGTTTTCTATAGCAAATGCACCAATTTGGAATCACACCAATACTGCATGAGGGTTCCCTTTTTTCCACATCCTCACCAACACTTGATGTTTGTTGATTTATTGATGTTGGCCACTCTGCCAGGTGTGAGATGATCTCAATTGTAGTTTTAATTTGCATTTCCCTAATGGTTAGGTACATCGAGCATCTTTTCATGCCCATCAGCAGTCTCTGTGTCCCTTTTGGAGAAATGTCTGTTCAGGTCCTCTGCCCATTTTTTAATCAGATTGCTTGTTTTTTTGGGGGGTGGGGGGTTAAGTTATATGAGTTCCTTATACATTTTGGATATTAACCCCTCATGAGATACATCATTGGCGAATATCTTCCCCCACTTAGTAGATTGTCTTCTCGTTTTGTTTATGGTTTCTTTTGCTTCGCAAAAACTTTTTAGTTTGACATAGACCTATTTATTTTTCTTTTGTTCCCCTTGCCCAAGGAGACACATCCAAAAAACTATTATTAAGAGCAGTATTAGAGAATTTACTGCCTATATTTTCTCATAGGAGTTATATGGTTTCAGGTCTTACATGTAAGTTTTTAATCCATTTTGAGTTTATTCTTGTATATGGTTTAAGAAGGTGAGCTTGTTTCAATTTTTGCATGTATCTATCCAGTTTTCCCAACACTATTAAGTAGATTATCTTCACCCCATTGTATATTCTATAGATTGCTTTGAGTAGGATGGACATTTTAATGGTGTCAATTCTTCCTACCTCTGAGCTTGGTATATCCTTCCATTTATTTGTATCTTTTTCAATGACTTAAAATTTTCGGAGTACAGGTTAAATTTATTCCCAGATATTTTCTTGATGGAATTGTAAATGGATTTTTAAATTTCCTTTTCTGCTAATTCGTCATTGGTTTTTAAAAATGAAGCTGATTTCTGAATATCAGCTTTGTGTCTTGCTAATGTACTGAATTAATTTATCAGTTATAATACTTTTTTGGTGGAATCTTTAGGGTTTTCTATATATATATATAGTCTCATGTCATCTGCAAATAATGACAGTTACTTCTTTTCTAATTTGGTTGCATTTATCTCTTGTCTGATTCCTATGGCTCTACTTCTAACACTGTTGAGTAGAAGTGGTGAAAGGGGACATCCTGGTCTTGTTCCTAATCTTAAGAAAAATGCTTTCAGCCTTTCCCCATTGTGTATGATGTTAGCTTTTTGTTTGTCATTAATGGACTTTATCATATTGAGATAACGTTCACTCTGTTGCTACTTTGATTGTTTTTATCATAAGTGAATGTTGGATTGTGTCAGACGCTTTTTCTGCATCTATTGATATGATGATATGATTTTTATCTTTCAGTTTGTTAATGTGGTATATCACATTAATTGATTTGCAGATAGTGAACCAGCTTGGCATCTTAGGAATAAATCCCACTTGGTCATGGTGTGTTTGTTTTTTAAATGTATTGCTGAATTCAGTTTGCCAATATTTTGCTGAGTTTTGTATCTGTATTCATTAGGGCTACTGAACTATAATTTTCTGTTTTTTAAATGTCTGTCTGGTCTTGGGATCAAGGTAATGATGACCTTGTAAAACAGTCTTACGAGCCTTCCCTTTCTTGAACTTTTTGGAATAGTTTGAGAAGGATAGCTGTTAATTCTTTGAATGTTTGGTAAAATTTGCCTGTGAAGCCATCTGGTCCAGGATTTTTGGGTTCTTTTGGAGACTTTTTGGTTACTGATTGGATTTCATTAGAAGTTATTGGTCTGTTCAGACTTTCTCTGTTTCTTCCAGGTTGTCCAATTTGTTGGCATATAAATTGTCCATAGTATTTTCTTACAATCCTATGTATTTCTGGGTGTTGGTTGTCACTTCTCTTTCATTTCTGCTCTATTCATTTGGATCTTCTCTTTTTTCCATGAGTCTGACTAAAAGTTAATCAATTTTTTATCTTTTCAAAGAATCAGCTCTTGGTTTCATTGATCTTTACTATTGTTTTTTTTAGACTCTATTTTGTTTGTTTCCATTCTGTTCTTTATTATTTCATTCCTTCTACTCACTTGGGCTTTGTTCTTTTTCTAGTTCATTTAGGTATAAAGTTAGATTGTTAATTTGAGATTTTTCTTCATTTTTGAGGTAGGCCTGTATTGCTATGCATTTCTCTCTTATAACTGCATTGGCCGTGTCTCAGATTTTTGGGTTTTGTTTACATTTTAATTTGTCTCTAGGTGTCTTTTGATTTCTTTCTTGATCTCATCATTGACTCAGTCATTGTTTAGTAACATGTTTTTTAGCGTCCATGTTTTTGTGTGTTTTCCATTTTCTTCTTATAATTGACTTCTAGTTCATATCATTGTGACTGGAGAAGATGCTTGAGATGATTTCAGTCTTCTTAAGTTTATTGAGACTTGTTTTGTGGCCTAAGATGTGGTCTATCCTAGAAAATGTCCCATGTACACTGGAAAAACTTGTGTATTCTTCTGTTTTGGAGTGAAATGCTCTAAAAATATCAATTAAGTCCATCTGGTCTCATGAGTCATTTAAGGCCGCTGTTTACTTACTCATTGATTTTTCTGTCCAGATTATCTATCCATTGCTGTCAATGGGGTATTTTCTATATTTAGGTGCTTCTATGTTAAGTTCATAAATGTTTATAAAAGTTACATCCTGTTGTTGGATTGATATCTTTGTCATTGTGAAATGTCTTGTATGTCTTATAACCTGTTTTGTTATTATTTGTATTTTTTTATTTTTGTCGGTAACCTTTGTTTTACAGTCTGTTTTTTGTTTAAGTATTGCTATGCCACCTTTTTTCAACCCAATTACATTCAGTGTGTACGTGTGTCTCTCAATCTGATATAGGTATCTTGTAGCCAGAATATGTACAAGTCTGTTTTCTTATCTATTTCTTAGCCACCCTAACTCTTTTAGAGTATTTTAGTCCATTTACATTTAAAGTATTTATTGATAGATATGTAGTTATTGCTATTTTATTAATTGTTTTCTGATTGTTTTCATAGTTCTCCATTCCTTTCATAGTCTCTTTGTCTATTCTCTTGTGTACTGATGATTTTCTGTAGTGTCAGGTTCGGTTTCCTTTTATTTACTTCTTATATATCTCTTGTAGACTTAGGGTTATGGGAACCGTGTGCTTCTTATGTAGCAGTCTATTTTAAATTGATGTTTGCTTAAGTTAACACATTCCATAATTGTTACCATTTTTATTCCACCTTTATGTTTTTGTCATTATTGTTTACTTCATTTGTGTGTGTGTGTTTGGGTGTATCCCTTAATTTGTTATAATTGTATGTTCTTTTGCCTTTTCACCTTTGCATTAGCTTTATAGTTGGTGGAACTACTGCTTTTGTTGTGTGTTTGCCTTTGTCAGTAAATACTTTTTCCTTCCTATCTTTTCCTATTCATATTTTCAATCTCTCCTGTTCTTCTTAATGAAATCTCTTTAACATTTCTTGTAATATTTGTTTAGTGGTCATGAACTCCTGTAGCTTTTTTTTTTTTTTGGTCCGGGAAGCTCTTTATTTTCTCAGCTATAGTTCCTTGTTTTTCATCACTTTGACTGTTTCATGCCAATCCCTCTGGACTGCAGAGTTTCTGTTGAGAAATCAGTTGACGGTCTTAGGGGAGCTCCCTTGTATGTCACTGATTTTCTTTTGTTACTTTTAAGGTTTTGTCTTTAACCTTTTGCATTTCGATTGTGATGTATCATGTGAGCTTCTTTGGGTTCATCTTGTTTGGGACTCTGCTTCCTGGACTCATGTCTTTCTTGCCAGGTCAGGAAAGTTTTCAGTCATTATTTCTTCAAATAAGTTTTTATTCCCTTGCCTTCTCTTCTGGTTCACCTATGATGTGAATGTTGCACTTGATGTTGTCCCTGAGTTCCCTTAA